TGTAAGAACGTTTGAAGGTTGGAAGATTTGACAGATTAAGTGAATCAATGTTATGATAAACGTAAGACTAAAAATCTCATACTGAATTTCAATTAAGTAAGGATGTAACCCCCAAGGCTGCCAATAGTGTTACATGCATGACATCCCAAAGGCTGTCACGTAGCCTGAGTCTAGCCTGCAACCAATGACACCTCTTATTCGCCAATTGGGATGGCGACACCTTTCATTTTTGTACTCTTTTCCCAAGTCCAATGGCGCCTCACTTACTGTCCAATCGTGATACATGCATGCAGATATGTAACCCCTAGGCTACCACCTAGCCTGCGCCTACTCGGCACCTACACTGTATCTTGTAAGTCTCCTCCCATCACCTCTAATAGGGTTACATGTATTCAGGCATGGCATCCAAAAGGCTGTCACGTAGCCTGAGCCTAGCTTGCAACCAATGACACCTCTTATTCGCCAATTGGGATGGCGACACCTTTCATTTTTGTACTCTTTCGCCAAGTCCAATGGCGCCTCCCTTACTGTCCAATTGTGTTACATGCATGCAGATATGTAACCCCCTAGGTTGTCACCTAGCCTGCGCCTACTCTGCACCTACATTGTATCTTGTAAGTCTCCTCTCATCACCTCCAATAGGGTTACATGCATTCAGGCATGGCATCCCAAAGGCTGTCACGTAGCCTGAGCCTAGCCTGCAACCAATGACACCTCTTATTCGCCAATTGGGATGGCGACACCTTTCATTTTTGTACTCTTTCGCCAAGTCCAATGGCGCCTCCCTTACTGTCCAATCGTGTTACATCCTTAGGCTGCCACCTAGCCTGCAAGAGTGACACCTTTCATTTTTGTACATGCATGCAGATATGTAACCCCATAGGCTGCCACCTAGCCTGCAAGAGTGACACTTCTCATGCATGCATGCACCAACAACCACTCTATGAAATTTTTTTGCCTATAAATACAGACCATATCATACATCTCTCACACCCACACAAGTCTCACTCTCTGCTACGAAATCTTTCATAATCTCTTACACTTTCTAAGTCTTTCATACTCTCTTACACTTTCTAAGTCTTTCATAATCTCAAGCATTTTAAACAATGACTCTTCTAACAATGGGTGATTCTCAGAGGCACAAGGGAAAACATTGCCGCATTTGTAAGTTTCTATTTTGGTTATACATTTTTCATACTTCAGATAATGCTTTGTTCATCTTACTTAATCTTACACCTTTTACATTATGAACTCAGGATACTAAAAGATTCAGAATTCGTTCTCACAACTACCTGGCTCCCGACCCATTTATCGTACCATATCTGGAATACGCAGGTTTTGGACATGTCATAAAGATCTCCAACTGCACAATTGATTCGGAGTTCATTCTTGCAATGTTGGAAAGGTGGAGACCAGAGACCCATACATTTCACCTACCAATAGGTGAATGTACCATCACGCTAGAGGATGTGTACATGCTACTAGGTCTCCCTGTCGACGGTAAGACCGTGAACGGGTCGGTTCAACAACCCAACTCTCAGTGTGAAGAACTGTTGGGCAGGGATATGGTTGAAGGTGGTGGTGCGAGAGGTCAGGGAATACTACTCACTGAGCTTAAAAGTCATTATGCAAGTTTGGAATTAAACGAAAATTCCTCCGAGCAAGACAGGGTAGTAAAAGCCAGAACTTATCTTATGATATTATTTGGTACCTTTTTATTTCCCAAAAGTACGGGAAATAGTGTAAATTTTATGTATTTACATTTACTAAGAGATTTTGAAAAAACAAGAAAATATAGTTGGGGTTCTGCAGTTTTAGCCCACCTATACAGTTCCTTGTGCAAAAATGCAGTCAAGGAAAAATGTACATTTTATGGGTGCGCTTTTTCACTACAAGCCTGGGGTTGGTGGAGGATCGAGTCCTTAAACCCCGTCAACAACAACACTTTCGTTTTCCCGTACGCAACAAAGTAAGTCATCAAGTTATATCATTTATTACTATTCATCTCTTCACCAAATATATGCTAAGAATAAAATGTTTTTCATTTCCTTTAGGTATTGCGTGAGGGGTATGAATTACGGCAAGAATCCAAAATTCAATGTCGCACTATACCACAATTTGTTGGATCACTTAGGCCCGAATGATGTACGTCGTACCTTTAAACTTTTCTTCATTTAAATTATTTATATATTACGTTTTCGTTAACCTGATTTAAATTTTATCGCAGTTCGTCTGGAGACCATATTTGGGTTTGAACCATGATCCAAACCCGGAGGATGCAGCAATTTGGACCGCGAAGACTACAATCATTCGGTTCAACGTTGTGGAGATGCACCACAGCGACCGTGTGAAGATGCAGTTCGGAATACATCAAGAGATACCAAGTGATCCAACTTGTTTGTCCCCATGGCATCTCAAAAGGATCGACGCCTAGTGGGGTCTTACCAACTGGAAAGACTTCGCTCCGGAATGGTGTAAGATGTGGCAGAGGCGTCACCGCTATGTCTTGCAATTCCCGGTTTTCCTTAATTATGGTAATATGCGACACACAGATCAATATTTATCTTGGTACAGGTCGGTTAGTAACCCTGAAATGCACGTGTCTCATCCAAGGTACTTGGTTGACCCACACACACAATGGCACAACCCTCGTTTCCCCAACAACAAACCCAAAACCCATCAACCTCCCACCAATCCCCCAGAAGAAACAGAACCACAAACACCCAACCACAGTCCCCACCACAACACATTACACTCAAATGCTCCACAACTAACCACAATCACCACCTCACTACCAATACCTCCATATGCCTCACACCCAACCACAATACCAATCACAATACCAACACACCCGCATACCCCACACACAATTTCAATCTTTTGTATATCCCAATATGGACCCTCAACATCCGGCCTTAGCCCTGATCTGGAAATGTCAGAAGATTACGAACAAACCGACCCAGCCTACCATCAACCACAATATCACCAAACCACCCAACATCCTCAATACCAAACACCCCAAGATCCATTTCCTTTCTATCCACCGTACTCAGACGATCAATGCTACAGACCCACCATGGAACTCCACCCACCGCCAACACGATCAAACTTTGAGGGTATGGGTAACCGATTGTACCAAAGCGGATCTTCTAGATATGGAGATCTGACTGATTTTATGGATCCGAAACGCATTGACTTCGCTGGGCTATCGACTCTGCCGCAGCAGGAAACACAACGACACCCAACACGGGAAAGGCGGGGACGGGAATGCAGAACCGGTGGTCATTACCGGGTTCCGAGGGATCACTGATTTATCTTTTTTTTTTATCTGTTTTTTTTTATCTGATTTTTTTTATCTGTTTTTTAATGTAATACATTTGGATGTAATTATTTTTTTTTAATAAAAAGTCCATTTTGTTGATCCTGTATCCAATACGCAACACACGGGACCAAAAAAAAAATCAAATTTTGCCCTAGAAATACACATAGGCGCCATCTCACTTGACTTAGGGCATTGCCCTAAGCACATAAGCGCCAAGTGAGATGGCGCCTCCCCTTAAAAAATAGGTGTAGGCGCCAAGTGAGATGGCTCCTCCTTTGGGGAATCATCTGAAACATGGTTATTTGCATAATTTTTTCCGAAACGCGGTTATTTGTGAATTTTTTTTTAATACTTAGTTATTCAAAAAAAAATTCCAAAAATAGAGTGAAACGATAAATAACATTGTTGGTTGAAGCTATAAGAACTAAACAAAAAAAAAAAGTGGATTAAACAACTGTGGAGAAGCTTAGTTTCAGCTAAGATGACAATATACACAGCATTAGCAGCAAACATAAACTTAAAAAACAAATGGAATAAAAGGTAATTGAAGAGCCAATACTGCTGCATCTGAAATACTGCTACATTCAGAACTACAACGCGTGCATAAAGTTGCTTGTTCAAATCATCTTCTGAAAAACTGTTTCCACAAGCCTTTTTGATAATTAAGTCAAAGCTGGATTAGCTCCGCAGTAACCAGAGCAAGTCACACTTCACATTATATTTACAGGAGGACCAAATTAATATGCATTACAGTAATTTATTGGTATCATCTTTCCAAATACTTCCTTTTCACAAACCTTTTGATTAAAAAGTTAAAACTTTAACAGTTCAACAGTAGTTACAATAAAATAGTCAGAAACATAGTGAAGAGACAGAATGACCTAAATAGAGATCCGGTATCTTTCAAAAAAAAAAGCATTTAACTAAAATGTATAGCTTAGTAAGCTTTTGATTTGTCAAGATGAGATTCTACATCAATATCAAGGTTACATATGCTAGCATTACAAAAAATTGACAGTTAAAAATCATGTGTACTAAGCTATGATGCAGAGTGTATCACCCAATTATTTTGAAATCAGTAGATGTGTTGACTAAGGTATGATGCAAGGTTAGCAGAGTGTATCACCCAATTATTTTGAAATCAGTAGATGTACCCATATACCCTAACACTCTATAAAACAAAAACAAATTATAGACAAAAACAAAAACAAAAACAAAAACAAAAACAAAATGAATCTACTCCGAATAAAATCAGAAAATAAAGCAATACTCTATCTCAAAGCAGTCAATTAAAGTTCAAGAGAGCTCTTCGTGAACAAAAAAACACATAATAGCGGTCACAAGACAGGACCAGAGTTATCAATCTAAGATAGCGGAGCAGAGCGGCTGACCCCAAAAATGGGATAGCGGATGGCAGGATAACCGCTGACAATTATTTGGACTAATTATATGAATAATCTATAAAAACATATTAAATGTAAAACTAAACAAACAACACAAAATCCATAAAAGACTCACTAAATTTATGTAATTACTATTTAGTAAAAGAAGAAAAAAAAACATGAGAAACAAAATAAGTAAAACAAGGGAAGAAGACTTTAAAAAAAAGGAAGACTAAAAGAAAAGAAAGAAGAAAAAAGAAGAGGAAATAATGAAGAACAGAGGAAAAAAATAAAACCTACATGAGAAACGCAGATACGGAGGCGCAGAACAGGGGCGGCATCACTAAGAAACGAAGCAGACAGCGGCGGCACTGAGAAACGAAACAGGCGGCGGCGGCGCTGAGAAACGTAACAGACGGCTGCGGCGCTGAGAAATGAAAAGTCGGCGGCGGCACTGAGAAACAAAGCAGACGGCGGCGGCGCTGAGAAAGGAAAACAGATGGCGGCTGCACTGAGAAACGAAGCAGACAACGTAGGCGAAGCTTGAAAGATGATTGTGAGAAGAAAACTCGAAAGCTGAGGCGAAAGCGTGTGATACAAGAAGATTGAAGATTGGTTCTCTGTTTTGTGTTTTGAGTTAGGGCAAGGTGGAAAAAAATCCTCAAAACTCCTTCAACTTTCATTTATTTTAGGGGTAGGTTTTCGCTTCAAAAATGAGGAAACCCACTCGGGCCAGGTAGAGCTCTGCTGCCGCGGCCCCGCTAAACCTTAAATCGCTACCGCAATCTCAAATTGAGGCACGAACTGCACCTCCATAGCAGAGGGTCGCCGCTCCAGGACGCTATCCCGGGATAGCGACGCTAGAGGGTGCTATTGATAACTCTGGACAGGACATATTGGCACAATTAGCGACCCCAGAATAAACACATAATATAACATCCTGGCATAACTTGCTTTTCAGCTGGTGGGATGGAATATTCAAGTCACGTTAAGATAATCCAAATCCATATGGTGTGCAAATAAATAAAATTTACTACCATTATCTGAATAATGCATAAGATCATCCATTCGAGGGTTGTTTCTGCAGCTTTTAAGCAAGTTCATGTTCTGGCCATGATTGACAAGTGTGAGTTCTAAGCACACCTGAGATATCCAATATTATTGGAAAGCACATAAGCAATCATAAGAAACAAAGGTCAGAAATTCTTATCTCTGAAATAATTTATTGGTAGAGGTTACCAATTAACTTGCAGAGAGAAGAGACAAACCTAGCATCACATTTAGCCATTGGAAGCAAGGCATGCAAGCCTCCTACACTGGCCCTGGAAAATGATTTTGATTCATCAATAAAAATCAATAATCAAATAGTAGGTAAAAAAACCATATAAAAAAATAAACAGTAAATAAAGTTTACTGGGTTAAGCAAAATTTTAGATTTCATACTTCAATAGCTATATACATGAAGCTGTTCATCATTGCTTGGCAATTAAATGATTTACAAGGCATCAGAAAGTAGTAGTTGAATAAACAATCACATGAAACTCTCATAGCTTTTTGAAGGTATGGAGGAAGCTCTCACCTTACATAATACTGAGAAAAAAAAGGCAACAAATAAGATCCAAAATTTTTAAAAAATAAACAAAGGATAAATAAAATAAAGAGCATTGTAACTTGACAATTGATTTTTTCATATTGAGTGACATCATAATTTCTATAACAGAATGAATAGGAGAAAATGATGAATCAGAAATTTTTTATCTGGTTCATAACCTAATAATGCTGTACATGGTGTTCAAAAATGAAAGAATGTATGAAATCTCCCCTATGTTAACATTTAAAAATTCTGAACACCGGAAACTAAGTTCTTTATCCCTATCAAATGTTCATCGTTTGAGATATTGAGTAAAATACGAAGATTAGTCAATACGGCTTCTTTTTCCCAACTTAAAGGACCGGAAGCATACATTGCCTCTAAGGTACAGTGATAAGCATTCAACTCTAACCTATGGATTTTTTCGGCTACGACCTCTTTTGGGATAAAGGTGCATCCTACATCCGCATCTTCAACATCTAGAGAATCTGCGTCACGGCAAATGGTATTGTCATCACTTTGGCAAGGATTTACCAACATATCACCATAAAATCCGTCAACATCTTCAACATCTGGAAATTCTGGATTACTGCGAAGGGAATCTGCATCATCTTGGAAAGGACCTGCTAACCTATCACCAAAAAATTCATTCGCACTACCACTTATTACACTACAGCTGCCAACTGAACTCACATTACTACAAGTATAATCCTGTTCTACAGTGGTTTTAACATTACAAGGATTCTGCTTCCCTATTCCATATAATTGATTGGTACTATTAGTGAAGGAATAATGCATGTATTTTTCACCCATATTATTTTGTGGGTAAGCAATAGCATCTACCTTTTCCATCAATGGAGCGGTGGATACTGCTTTGAACCTTTTAGACTCACCCATAATCACACCAGCCCTCTTTTTCCTGGGATAATCCTCAATACGAGATGAGCCATGAGAGCACGCTCTTTTCAAAGTTGAAGGTGAGGGTAGATGGAGACAGCTGTCATCCAATCCTAGTGAACAAACATTGTTAGCTTGCTGAACATCAGGCATCACCTTATAGTTGTTTGAAATCAAATTTCGGCTAAACTTCATCACTCTAGAGTTGGCTGGTACCTGGGTCAAACACAAGAAAATAACTTAAGGAAAAGGCCTGGTGAAAAATTAACATAACAAATTTGAAGCAATTTACATGAATAAGATAAATTCAAACACTAAGAAACTGCAAAGAACATTGAGAATGCTTGCTAGTTTGAATTAAATATTTGAAATAGAAAAACTTGATAAGCAACAAAAATAACCTTTGGACTAATGATCCATTGACCATTTTCCCATGATTGGCACATCCTCATGTGAATTTCTTGGACCTTCAGCTCCGTGCAAGATCCGTGCAACGCTACCAAGTACAATTCTCCAGTCACGTACTTCAACACAGTAGCTTTCTTCCAGCATCCGTCATGCCAAACCTCCACAGCATCATTAACTTTCCAACTCTCAATATTTTTCATAGCAGGGGGGCATGGTCTGATGGCCTTCCTTGGAACCCTCCTCGAAAGAGCCTTATCGTTTGCACTAGAATGGTCATACTTAACATTGTAAGTGTGCCCGTTACCAGAAGTAATACGGGCACCATGCCATTCTACTTCAAGTCTGGAGGTATTGACAAGGATCTCCACTTTACTTCCTTTTATTAATCTCATAGTGAAAACTTTAATTCAATCTTCAACCTGTCACATTGTTAAATAAATGTTAAATGTTACTGCCACACACAATTCTAAATTACATTCAAGACAATTTCAATGACATTCATCAATCATTACGGAAAGAATCATAGTTTGTCAAAGAATTAGCATTCATGGAATGAATTCTTTGAAAATCAATTCTGTAATCAAAAGGAAAAAAAAAAACACGCAATTAGATATTTCATCGTTTAATCACTGCAACTGTAAATTAGAATGTTACATTGTCAAGCATAAATTCTCCATATATCAATGAAGCTACCGTTATTTGAAAAACAATAATTAGAGATTCAAAATAGATTCCAAAATTCAAAAACTAACAAAAAATTAACAAATAACAGATTGTGAAAAGCGAGAGAACAAAATCAAAATTCAGAAAGGAAAAAACCTAGAATCGAAGAGATAAAAATGAAAGAAAAGACATTAACCGAAGCAATTGAAATATAAAAAATAAAAAAAGTTTAAAGAAGATTGATGCTACTAACCTTTCTCGATGGTTCGAGTGTTTTTCAGTATTCCGATGGCAACGAGTATTGAATGAACGAGCAAATTGCTACTACAATTTTCTTGCTTTCTGCGATTGCAAATTGAGAGTTGGTTTTTTTGGATGGTTTTCACGGAGAAACTTTGGAGCAGCGGCGGCGAAAAACTACGGTGCAGCGGAAAGCTTACGTGTTTAGCGAAAATTGGAAGATGTGAATAATTGATGAAACAAAGAAGGAATGAAGAGCATAGGAGAAATTTCAAAAGGAGGAAGAAGAAAGCCGCGACGGTTACAAGAGGAGAGAAATTGCTTTTCGGAAACTGGAGTTGTTGGGTGGCTTTTATAATTTTGATTAATTGAATGCATAATATTTATTAATATAAATAATATTTATAAATATAATTAATATCCGGAATTTCTTTCCCCATCTTTTATATCTTTTTAGTTATCTCTGACGAAATTTTATTTTTACCTCTAGAATTCGGAGATGTATCTTCGAACGTACCAGAGTTTATTTTAATAGAGTGATTTTGGAGATGTTTCCGAAGTTATGAAATTTTTTTTTTTATGAATTCGGAGATATATTTTCGAATATATCCAATGTTATAATTCAGATGTACATTTCCGAAACAAATACCGATAGATTTCAACAAAACAGAAATTTTGAAACAGAAAATTATGTAGATATAACATTGATGTTGAAACATTGATAGTACATAAATATATTACATAAACAATAACATATATTTAACGTTGAAAGTCGAAATTACATAGATATTGAAACATGAATTTAACATTACAATATTGTTATAAACGGGTAACTGAGGACGTCGTAACATTCTGATAACATCTTCATCGGATCTCTGAATCTTTGTATCCAATTCAATCGGACCCTTAGTAGAGTATCGGCGAAAAGTATTCCACATAACCTTTAAATCGTCATCCGTCTTCAGTGAAAACTCGGTGAACTGTACCTTTCCTTCATTGTCAAGTGATGGTGAACAATAATCCATCTTGACTACCTTCTTATTTTTTGGATATTATAAGAGAGAGTTGAGTATAGTAATGAGTTCGACGAGAGGCGTGTCCTCACATCACCTAAATTGAAATGGCGACATCTCACCGTTGAAGTAAACAAAAGCAAGGTGATGATATGTTTGTGTCATTTCTGATTTGTGGTGTGTGATATCTGATTTGTGGTGTGTGATATTGAAGAAATGGTTTGGACACCCTATTTATAGAAGATTTTGAGCAATTTGGTCCAAAGAACTCTTATATGTGTCAGGGCATGTTTCGAAAATACACTTCCGAAACAACCCCTTATTTTTTAAACAAAAATAAGGTATTTTCGAAAGTACACTTCTGAAACATTTCGTGATAGTTTTTTTTAGACTTTCGGAAATATATTTTCGAATTATGCAGAGACAGAACTCTATCTTGGCAGAATTATTATCATTAAAAGATAAATTCACAATTTAATCGGTAAAAGCATAAATCGGTAAAATATATAAATCGGTAAATATTGAATAGATATATTATATATGTATTGAATCGTATAGGTGCATTCCAAAATGATTCGATTACATTTTGCATGACAATACATACAAAAAATAGTTCAATTACATTCTAAAATGTATCGAACGAATGATTAACGCTTAAATTTAAAATCGGTTCTTTCTTAGACTTTTCCCTATTTGATTTTCTCTCAAGTTCTGACAACTTAGTGAATTCGGTCATCCTTTCCAAAAAATGATCCAACCAAGTTTCTGTCTCTTTTGCGGAATATGTCGTCCATTGTACTGACGTAGCCGGAATAGGACACCCTGACTTCAAATAGACCTGAACAAAATGGAGCGATCTAAGATACCCAATACAGATGATGTGGTTGAAGAGACGCAATTTTTCATCTCAAAAATCAGCATCAATGCAAGGAAGTGAGAAATAAAATGAGGAAAGTTTATCTTAAATTGCAGCTTTCTATGCTCTCTTTGACATGATAAAACACTTGAAACTTATTTTGGAGACGAAAAATTGATTGACAATGGATTGAATTTTTTGTGAGGGTTTTTGATTATGAGAAACAAATTAGTAGAATAAAATAGTTCATGCAGCAAGGTGGCATAACTTGCATATTTTCGGAAATACATCTCTGAAAATATACATGAATGTTTAAATATAACGTTTAGCTAGAAACATGATATTTTCGGACATGTATTTCTGAATTTACCTCAAAATTTGATTTTAGGTGTTTTCAAAGATGTATCTCTGAAATACCTTGACTTGAGATGCGTTCGAAGATACATCTCCAAAAAGTATTTTCGGATTTTCAAAGTTTTTTTCACCTTTAAGAGGTGTAAAAAAATTCCCTTGATATTAATAATATGGACCTATCAAAACTATGTAAGAGTGTTCACCTTTTTTTTTGGTAAAATTTATGATGATGCTTATTTTATTTTAAATATTAGCACATTTTGAGTGATGTGGACTTGTTAGTTTACACCTCCTAATTTATAAGTTTTTTTATATTAATTAATTAAAAAAAATTACAAAAAAAATGTAAAAACACATTATTCATAAAAAGAAATTAATTTATTTAAAAATAAAAAAACTAAACTATGAAAAAAAATTATTTATAGAAAAAATAAAATTAGATCTTAAAGTCTATTTGGTAAGACCCAAAAAAGAGTTTTTATCTTTTAACTTATAATTTTTCAGCTCATATTAATGAAAATGCTTTGTTTGGTAACTATCTTTTAGCTTTTAGTTTGTAGCATTTTTATTAGTTTTTAGTTTTTTTTCCAAAAGTTATTTGAAATAATTTTTGAGCTTGTAGCTTTTATCTTGTGACTTTTTCTTTCATTTATATCCTTATTATTTTAACAAATATATAATTACTCTTCAATATACTAAATTATATTTGCGTCAACTTACAAGATATAAGATGATGCAACATTTGATGTTGTTAATTAACATCTAAATTATATAATAAATTTTGAAATAATGTTGATAATTTTCAAGTTAGTGAAACATTAGAGAAGAATCAATGAAATCAACCAAGATGAAAAAAATTCAGAATATTGTCATACTTTTATTGTAAAACATTAGACTTCAGATTAATATAATTGAATTTAAAATTAAAAATGTTATTATTTCATATATTTCGGTTAAATTTCATTATAAATTTATATACAAATTTAATATCTTTTGATGTTATCTTTAATTTTTTTTATATATTAAAATTATTTTGGATGTTTTTATTAATATATTTATTTTTATCGAGTAAAAAATAATTTTATAATATAATACAGGGTTAAATAAATTTTTAGTCCCTCTAAATATTTCAAATTTTGTTTTTAGTCCCTCAAATATTTTCCTTTAAGGATTGGTCCCTTCAAAATTTTCTGGCTAAATAATTGGTCCCCAACGTCAAGTTCCACTAACGAATTCCTATGTGGCAAGGTAGATAATCCTATTAAGTATGTACACAAGTGTTGCCATAAGTCTACTTATGTCTCATGTTACAATGAAGTTATCATTCCCATTAATGGCCAAAACAAATGGCCAAGGACTACTGACCCTGACATCTTACCACCAAGTTATAAGAGAGGTCCTGGTAGACCAAAGAAACTCAGAAGAAGAGAGCCAGATGAGGCAAGTCAAACAAGTTGGCAAAGGACACACACAAACCACAAGTGCAAGACTTGCTTGGAATATGGACACAATACAAAGACACGTAAGAAAAATAAACAATTGGCAGTTGTTGAAGGTGAACTGCCAAGAGATGTTGTAGCCACCCAAGGAAGCCAAGCACAACATGTGGCTACTGCAGGATAAAAAAAAAGGTTAGTAACTCAAACTGAACAAAAACTTTACATTAGAAATTCATATATAATTTTCAATGACTTCTTACAATTATGTTGGATGCAGGATGGGCCAAAAGGTACAATAAAAAAAGGAGGCACATCTAAAAAATCAAAGGCTACTGCAGGAAATGGGAGTCAGGCTACTGCAGGAAATAGGAGACAGGAAATGAGGCTCAAGCACCAACTACAAGAAATATGAGCATACTACTCAACCTGAAGAAAACCTTGCACCAACTAATGTGACACCTACTCAACCTGGGGTACACCTTTCACAAAATTCCGTTACCTCCTTTGAGGCAATGAGAATGTATTGTGGTATAGATCCTGATAAATTAAAGGCGTTGTAGAATGATGATGACATACTAGATATTCTACCATTAAGAATTGATACTAGTCCTGCAAATAATAATATGCCTAGTCCCAAAACCTTATTTGGTAAATGTCCTAAGGTATTAAAACCTGCTAAACCTGTTGCCAACCCAACTATAAGTGACCCTATAAGTTTGTAACTTGTTCTGATAGACTTATTTTGCATGTTATATTTTTTACCTTGATAACTCTATGTTGTCATAACAAGTGAAAATAATGATATCACCAAGGAAAAAGTCAAATATTGTTGCATCTCCAATTAGAAAGAATGACAGACTTAGGCCTTTGAAGACAAAGAATATAGAGGGACCTGGAAGGGATCCAAATGATCCATTTATAATACCTGAAGAAGACTCAACTATTGGCAGTGCTAGGGTAAAGAAGAAATGGGATGACATCCGAAAGAGCATGTGTGATCGGTGGATCTGGAACTGACTGTTTTAAAGCTGGTTCGCGAAATGTCGCGGTAAGCAAGAGTCGCCACCGTCTTTTATTTTCTCCAATAGGAAAGGACAAAAGCACAGAAAAATTCCTTTAAAGAGATTGCTCTCGGTTCGGGAGGTAGGTTATAGAAAGGGAAGGTGTTAGCACCCTTTCTATCCATGGTTATCCATGGGCTCTTAGGTACTTGCTCAATGTGTTTTCAAAATTGTTGTTTGCTTTTCAATTGTGAGTTTCAAAAATATTCTTTGAAAAGTTTCAGTTTAACTCGTACGTCAGAGTGTTTTGAAAAGTTTGTTTTGAAAGTTTTTTGAAAGTGTTGGTGTGAAAAGATTTGATTTGTTTTGTTTTAAAGAGAGCAAGTACCTACGAGAACCTACCTACCCTAAGGAATTCGTCTGTGTAAATGTCCTTTAAAGTAGTGCCATCCCACCATTGAGAGGTAGGTAGCACCACCGTTGGAGGTGTTCGGGTCAATTCGAGTTTTAGGGACGTGGTGATCACCGGAGCAATGGGAAAACACCTTAGAAGCTACCCTCATGCCAGGTTCCCGGACCATGAGGACTTACTAGGACATTTTCTACTCGACGACCACCTTTCGAAAGGCAACAGTGAGGCGTACCCTAGGGGTGGTGTGTGCGAATTGTGTGTCATTTTCA